GTGGGAAGGAGGACTAAAAAACTCCTATGTGTTAGGGTCCTGTGGTCACTGCTCTTTCCTGTGTGATCCTTGGGGGCAGGATTATTGTATTTTTTGTCTCTGTATCCCCAAAACCTAACCACACACCCTAGAGCATAATATTCCATGAATGCTTATGGAATGAATAGATGAATGAATGGATTGGTTTATAAGTGTTTGTAGGGTCTTTTGGGTTTTATTTTGTTTTTTTTAATGTAATAATCACACATATGGTTATTATTGCTCTTTAAAAAAACAAAAACAAGACACCTCTGTCATGCTCCTGAAGTAATCTACATGTCCTACTTGTAAAATCAACGCTGTCTCCCACGAGCTATTTTTAAAGCTCTCACAAAGAACCGTGTCTGTTTCTGGACTACTATTCCCTACCCACCGAAATCAAGCTTGGATATTTAGGGCACTATTGACAAATATAATGCATGGAAAGCTAAATTTACCACAGAACACAGGCCAGAATGGCTCTTATCCCTGGACTTACCTCCAATTCTCCCACCCCTTTTAAAAATAACCCATGACAAAATATATCAGGAACAAAGGAATTCTCTGGTTTAAAGTGAAGTCCAAGTTGGATCATTCTATAGTTGTGTGTATTATAGTTGTGTATGAATAAGTCCTTCAGAAATGAATCTAATCACAATCCATCTGAGAAAAATAACATGGCAAATTGGCTAAGCTTATAGAGATGAAAAATCTGAAGAACTAATAGAGTAACTGCATAGTATATGAATGAAGTGGGGAGAGTGGTTGGCTTTATTTTAGCGTACAACTGATATGGGATATGGTCTCTGTAGTGTTGCCTTTTGTCATTTTCTGTAGGCACAAGCCTCTTATGTCTGATGGAGGATGTGTGTTCCTTGCAAACGTGGTTATATTCTTTACCACCGCATTGTCCATAGCACCCAGCAGTGTTTTAGGCACACAGGGGGGCCTTGAAAAAAATCTCAGCTGTTCCATTGATGAAACTGATTCTGTCTTTGCCCCTGCTGATGGAGACGAGGGAGGTAAAATTTAAAACATGTGAAATGAGGTTTTAAAGAGCCCTCATGGATCCATTCTCATGGGTTGGAAGAACCAATATTGTTAAAATGTCCATACCATCCAAAGCAATCTACAGATTTAATGCAATCCCAATACCAACAACATTTTTTACAGAACTAGAACGGATAATCCTAAAATATAAAGAGAACTGCAATAAATAAATAAATAAATAACCAAAGAAGTCTTGAAAAAGAAGAACAAAGCTGAAGTGGAGGTATCACAATCCCAGATTTCAAGATACATTAGAAAACTGTAGTAATCAAAACAGTATGGTAGTGGCACAAAAACAGACACATAGATCAATGGAATGGAATAGAGAGTCCAGAAATAAACCCATGCTTATATGGTTAATTAATCTATGACAAAGAAGGCAAGACTATCCAGTGGGAAAGAGACAGTCTCCACCAAATGGTGCTGGGAAAACTGGACAGAAACATGCAAAAGAATGAAACTGGGCGACTTTCTTACACCATACACAAAAATAAACTCAAAATGGATTAAAGACCTAAATGTGAGACCTGAAGCCATAAAATCCCTAGCAGAAAACATAGGCAGTAATTTCTTTGATATCAATCATAGAAACATTTTTCTAGATATGTCTTCTTTGGCAAGGGAAATAAAAGCAAAATTAAACTATTGGGATTACACCAAAATAAAAAGCTTCTGCACAGCAAAGGAAACCATCAATAAACAAAAGGGCAACCTACTGAATGGGAGAAGATATTTGCAAATGATATATCCTATAAGGGGTTAAAATCCAAAATATATAAAGAACTTACACAACTCAACACCAAAAAAATAATAATAATCCAATTAAAAATGAGCAGAGGACCTGAATAGACATTTTTTCAAAGACATACAGATGACCAACAAACACACGAAAAGATGCTCAACATCACTAATCATTAGGAAATGCAAATTAAAACCACAAAGTAATATCACTTTACACTTGTCAGAATGGCTAAAATCAAAAACACAAAAAATAACAAGTGTTGGCAAGGATGTAAAGAAAAAGCACCATCATACACTGTTGGTGGGAATGCAAATGGGTGCAACCACTGTGGAAAATAGTACGGAGTTTCCTCAAAAAATTAAAAATAGATTTACCATTTGATCCAGTAATTAATTCCACTGCTGGGTATTTACCCAAAGAAAACAAAAACATTAATTCAAGAAGATATATACAACCTTATGTTTATTGCAGCATTATGTACAAAAGATATGGAAGCAACCCAGGTATCCATTGATGGATGAATGTATAAAGAAGATGAGGTATCTATATACAATGGGATATTAGCTATAAAAAAGACGGAAATCTTGCCATTTACAACAACACAGGTGAACCCAGACAGTATAATGCTAAGTGAATAAGTCAGTTAGAGGAAGATAAATACCACATAATTTCACTCATATGTGGAATTTAAGAAACAAAACAAAGAAAAAAGAGACCCAAAAAAAGACTTTTTTTTTCATTTTCAGTATTTTTTATTGTTATGTTAATCACCATACATTACATCATTAGTTTTAGATGTACTGTTCCATGATTCATTGTTTGTGCATAACACCCAGTGCTCCATGCAGAACGTGCCCTCTTTAATACCCATCACCAGGCTAACCCATCCTCCCACCCCCCCCAAAAAAAGACTCTTAAATACAGAAAACAAAATGGTAGTTGCCAGAGGGAAGGTGGGGGGGGATGGGTGAAATAGATAAAGGGGATTAAGAGTGCACTTACCGTGATGAGCACTGAGAAATGTATAGAATTATTGAATCATTGTATTGTACACTGGAAACTAATATAATGCCATGTGTTAATTATACTGGAATAAAAAAATAAAGAGCCCCCATGAAGCATTCAATAGACAGTCCTATGAAATTTGGTAAGGCATCCTGACATGTGGGGAAGGGTAGAGTGTACAGTAGAGGTCACAGATCTGAGGTAGAACCTCAGACCCAGCATCTGAGTCCCTGTCCTTGGCCAGCCAAGGGGCCCGGTTACCATCTAAATTCCCTAAGGGATAAAGGTAGCAGATGGCCAGGAACAAGAGAGGAATTTCAATGCACTTGAGCAAATTTCAAAGAGATCAATCCATTCATTCTTTCACCATCTGCACTGAGGACCAGACGAGGACCACAGTGACAACACTGTGCTAGGTACTAAGAAGCAGAAGCTCATGGTCAAGCAGGGGCACAGACGAGAGCAGTAACCAACAGTGAGCCAGGTAGCATGGACAAAGTGCCAGGACAGACATCAGGACTAGCCAGAGAGGTGAAGGGAATCTAAGATGAGCGTTGAAGAATGGGTGGCACCAGACAGGTGACAAGGGGAACACCAGAATGCCAGGCATAGGGCACAGCAAGTGCATACACCTGGAGGCCTGAGACACCACACACCATCAGGGGACTACCGATGCCTGTGCTAAAATGTGTCATGGTCAACGGCAGCAGTGAGGGCGAGGTAGGAAGTCTTTGTGCTCACAGTGAGGTGTTTGGGTGCTGACCATCTCAGGATCAAGAAACCTTGAGCAAGTTACTGAATCTCGGAGTCCCGGTTTCCTCTTCTTCATATGGCACCAAGGCTGCCCACCTATGGGGCCCCTGGACAGAGAGCCACTTGCTGGGGATGTTTGGGTAGAAGGAGCCTCCTCCTGCAGCTCACCCCACACCCTAAGAGCTGAACTCAATGGGCCCTTCTGCACCCTCTGTACTGAGCCTGGGCCCAGGCGTCAGACAACCACAGTGAGGATAATAAACCCAGTCCCCATGGCAGCCAGCTCAGGCAGTGACCATTTCCCTCCCATCCCCACGCTGTCTGTCACCAATGAGAGCCCTTCAACTTTGGGGACACAGTCAACACAGCTTATCTGCCTGCATGAAGGCATCAGACAGATGAGCACATCTCCCTCTTCCCAGGAACCCCGCAGCCCTCTTCTGCAGAGGAGATGTGAGTTCTACCATGTGAGGGAAACTCCAGGCCTTGGATCAGTCCATGCATGTACATTTATGCCTGCAGGGTAGGCATATATAACCAGGGTAGAAACATATCTTTATTAAATGATAAATGCAGGCGATTTTGCCTCCACCTTTTACCTCTTCTAAGGAAGATTGAGGGTACTCTGCTGGGCCCCCTATTGTTGTGCAAAGTCTTGGTGAAAGGGGCCCTCCAGAGGCCAAATTACTGTTCAAAACAAAGAGCCAATACGGAGAGCATGCTCAGGCTGGGGGATGGGGGGCGTGCTTAGAAGAACAGAGCAAGTCAAGGGGCACTTTGAGGTACAGAGGAGATCAAGAAACAGGAACATGGGGGAAGAGGGTGCTTAAGAAGTGTGGCTGTGAAGGATGTGCTTCCCCCGTGACCCCTCTTCCTTGACTTCAAGTCTTTCTTCCTGTCATCTCTGTCGTTCCTTTGATTGCAACACCATATAGCGACAGGATCCCACAGGTGCATGTCCGACGCTGGTACCCTGTGGGTGGTGGCTCCTGTTCTTACCCTCTCTCAGCAGCTCTGTGCGTAACTGTCCCAGGCACGTGCTCCAGCATGTCCCCTTTGGCCCATCCAGGCAGCACCCTCCCTGAGCCTCCGTCCTCCCTCTAGCCTCTGGTCACATGTTTTATCATCACTGACACCAGACATGGCAAAGGATGCGATCGCCCAACCACAGTGGCCCATCCCAACTTCCTAGTAGGAGAAAAACAAGAATTGGGAAAAAAGATGTAAGAATTGTGTATTACCTATATTATGAGAAAAAGATGATTTTATTAATTTTTAGACAATAAAATAAAGCCCTGCACTAAGCTGTAACAAATAACTAGTAAGTTGCTAATAAAAAGCTGTTACCATTCATTTAGGAAACAGAAATTGTGGCATTTCCCATCTTCAGCAAGGGATGCACTTTTGGGGATGAGTTCTCAACAACTGGAAGGAACTCACAGGCCACCAGGGGCCCCAGATGATGCCTTTGGGAATCCCTGGTCTGCCCTATGGAGCCTCCCACGCAGGGACACTTGCGGAGAGCCTGGCCATTTGCAGCATCCAGCTGGGGCTCCCTTATACATGCTCAGGGCTGAAACAGCCCTCAGAACACGCGTCCACCCACCCTTGTTCACAGCAGCAAAGAAAGCGATAGGCCAACTACAAGAAGACACCCTACAGAGCAGGAAAAGAAGCCCCACCCATTTTCGGGTGTCTGCCCTTGTGTGGAGAGCTGTTTTGGAGATAAACAGGTGTGTCTGTCTCTGGAAGTTGAATCTATATAATCACAAGGGGGTGGCTGAGCACTCTGGCATGTCAGTGGTCACATGATGCTGGTCATATCAAGTAACCATGATCACATCAGAGCCCGCAGGAGTTATAAATACACCACCACCGAGCCCCAACTGGATGACAATTGAGTAATGACAATAGAAATAGCTCACACTCCGTAAGACCATCTTTCCCCTTCCTGGAGAACTTTTCCGAAACCAACAGCATTACAATGGAGAGATGGCCAGAGCCAGTTAGAGGAGAACTTCAAATCTTTCAGAAGATGGAAAAAGAGCCTCAAGCTGGAGCTGGGTCCCCAGTGCTCGAGTACCATGCTGCCTTGGTCACGGGAGATCTGAGCCGTCTGGAGCAGCTCATGAACCGGTTCTTCCAGGATGCCAACGTGGTGTTTGAGATCAAGAAGGATGAGATGGAGTGGCGGGTGAAATCCCCAGCCACATTTGGACTGTCAGGTACCCTTTTTCCTTTAAAGCTCAGCTATTTACGTTTAAGGAGCTACTAACACTCCTCTGGATGTGTAACTCTGGTGTGCAGACTGCTCACATAGGCGCCGCATTTAGCGTACGCGAGCGAGGGACATCTATAAATGAAATTTGGTCCGCACAATGTTTTAGATGATGAGATGCGAGAAATCAAATTAGAAAGGCCAAAATGTGGGTGAGAAAGGGCCATCTGAGGCTGGAAGGTTCTTCTGGTCTTTAAAAGAGAACACTGGTTTGGGTGCTGATCTGCTAGGGCCTGTGTCTGGCAGCCAGGGAGGCAGGTCCCCTGGCATGCAGCTCTGCTCGAGGTCCTTCTATGAACCTGCGAACACCACGGCTACAGCAGGGTGGCTGGGGCACAGCCAGCATCAACAGAGGGGGAGCACTCCGCTGGTGCTCCTCTGGGAACCCAGGGGAGCCTGAGAGTGGGGGAGGGAGGGGAAGAAATCAGAGGTCCCTAAGTCATATGTCTGAGTGCATTCTTGCAGCCTGAACACCACTACGTGCTGGGCTGGCAAGAGAGCCCACCAAGGAGAGAGACACTCCCCTAACCGCCCCCCCACCTGGGATAAAGAGACTTGCTGACCACCAGGCTGCAGCCAGGGCTTTCTCCACTGGCGCTCTGCAGTGGGCACCCTTTCCCTGGGGTGTCCAGATGCAAGACATTTACCAAGAGGGCTCATGTGTTGGAATCCACTGCAGCTCTGCCAGACCAAAAGGATTTGAGACCCTGTGGTCAGTGGGCCCACGGCCAATGTCCCGTGTCCCATGTACCTGCCTTGTGGATTCGGACAGGCAAAGAATGGAAGGTCAGCTTCCAAAGAATGGACATCCTCCCTTTTATACCCCCCGTGGGGAGAAGGAAATAAACGCAAAACTGTCAAAGGGCTAAGCAGCTCAGAGCAACCAGTGAGGCAGTGGGGGCTTCAGGGAAGGCAAGTGTAGTTGTGGTCTGGGCCACACCACCCCCAACTCAGAGGGTCCCGGAGCCTTTCTGGGCCTCCCCTCCTTCATCTGTCCCAGACAGGGGCACACATTCCTCCAAGGAGCTGGGTGGTAGTTCGACCAAGAAAGCCAACAGCTCAAATGCTCGATCAATGGCAATTTTTTTTAATCACATGCCTCCCAGCCCTGGACACACTCACCATGCTCCAATGTTGCCATTTCAAATAGGTATCATTGTTAACCCATGGTCTGAATCCAAAGGCTCCTTCCTTTTTTCCTCCTTACTCTTTCCACTCCTGAGTTCTGCTGATTTTCTACGGCACACCTGAACCACAGAAGTTAGCACATGCTGCCCACCAAGGCGATAAGCTGTTGCCACGGAAGGGGCAGCCCTGAGAGCCAGTGCGGACCTGTGGCCTCCGTGGGGACTGGGAAGAGAAGGTGGGTGGTGCTGGGGACTGCTGCATTCCCTGCTCTTTTCTGCTCAGCCACTCCGCTTCCCCGGCAGCTCACCCAAGCCGCAGAAATGACCAAACTCGGCTTGGGAACAGCGCCCTCTCTCATACGAGAACTTGCTGGTGGCCAGTTACAGCTCCCCCTGAAGGGGACCGTGGGCAAGGGGGTAACACTAGCAGCCCCCCAGTACCTCAGTACATCCAGGATGGGATGCTGGCCTCATCCAGCTGGCAGTTCAAGGAAAGCATTGGCATGAGCAGCTGATGTCTAGAAGGATGTACCACATGGGGAGAATCCTAGGTCTCTGTTCCTCCTGGTGGCAGAACCTAGACCGGGGAGTGGGAATTATAGGCAGCAGATTCAAGCTTTCTGATCCAGACAGCTGCCTCAGAAGTCAGGTTTTCCTGAAGGCCTTGCGGAAGCTTATCACCGTCTCCCAGGACCTGGACAAGGGTGCTGGCCCTACACAGTGGCTGAGCTAAAGGCCCACCCGAGACCCCTTCCATCAGTCCTGAGACTTCCAAGTCTCAGGAATCCAGGCTGGGTGAACAGGGCTGCTGACATAGGCAGAGTTGGGCTGGGAACTTGATGTGCCCTGGAGAATGGAGCACCTCCTTCCTAGCCCCCCACCCACCCAGTAAGTAGACTTCCTAGCTCAGGAAAATGAGTACAATCAAAACCAGGAGCTGGTCCCTCTAGGTATGTAGACCACTGCTATCACCAAGAACCATATGCATCCATCCTCCTCCAAATCAGCCCCGGGCTTCCCCAGGAAGGGGAGACCAAACCCATGCAGGCCCACATCCCCAGGGCCTCTGGCCACCATCATCCACTACCAGGACAATAGGCTCCACATCCCCCACCGAGTGTGCAACAGCCCACAGGCTGGGCCTTGGGGACACAGGGCAGGCTGGAACTCCGCACCACATGCAGGTAGGTAATTATGAGTGGTCTTTCAAAACCTGCTCAGCATGGGTCCCAGGAAGGAGGTGGCCTGTGAAAAGGGTCTCCTCTGCAGCTCATTACAGCCATGGTATCGATTCTTCCATCATTATCAGAAGGCATTCCTGCCATGTGAAATCCTGTCCCTTGAAGTGTATTCACCGGGGACTGCTTCCCCATTTCCACGAGCGCTCCTGGCCGCTAACAACCTTCCACGGGCCTTTTGAAAGCCCAAAGTTTTCAGACAAGTACAATGTATAGCACCTGCTTCATTCATCCACCAAGAAAGGGCAACCTACACACACACACACACACACACACACAACCCTAAAAAGCGCAAAGAAACAAACCAGAATTGTGCTGAATGTGGACACCACATCAAAGAGAGCCTCTGAAACCCAGCGCTTCCAAGAGGACTAAACTTTCTAAGGCCTTTCCTTGAGCAACCTTGGCTCGGCGGGTCAGTTTATTCTGTCTGCTGTCTTCTCCTGTTAATGATAAAGGGATAAGTTTGGGGTTCAGTGAGAGAGAGCTGGATTCCAGAAAAACCCACAGCTCACTTCCCTGCCTCAAGCTGTCCCTAATTCAGAGCCTGGAAAACGTGAATTCTTGCCTTACATTCTCCCACCATCCACCCGCTGGGTCAGCCCTTCACTCCTCAAATCCTAGGCAAGTCCCCAGTCACCCCCATATTTGGCAAGACCCTCTTGCTTCTCAATACCCTCCATTCCTTCTGGCTCAGTTGTGGCCCTATCAATCTCTTTTTTATTCCTTTTCTCCCCCTTGCGTCTCCACCTCCCTCCTCAGTGTGCCTCTCCTGGGCCTCCGGACTCTCCTTCCAACTTCATTCCCCGTTTTCCCTCAAGCTCTCTCTCTGCCTCTCGGGGCGCCTGGGTGGCTCAGTCGGTTAAGCGACTGCCTTCGGCTCAGGTCATGATCCTGGAGTCCCGGGATCGAGTCCCGCATAGGGCTCCCTGCTCGGCAGGGAGTCTGCTTCTCCCTCTGACCCTCCCCCCATCATGTACACACTCTCTCTCTCTCTCTCTCTCTCATTCTCACTCTCTCAAATAAAAAAATCTTTAAAAAAAAAAAAAAAGATCTCTCTCTGCCTCTCTCTGCCTTTGTCTTCCCACCTCCATCTCCCTAGGGTAGAAGATATCCACCCCCCTCCCTCATTTGTGGAACTCACTGGGTTTCACTGGGTTTCTTAGTCCCAACCCTCCGCATCTTTATATACCTCTATATGGTCTATGTGTATCTTTATGTATCTACATGCCCACCTGGTAGCTACTTCTAAGAGATGGTTTCACCCTATTTCGGCCTTGACGGACACCGCCCCCCCCGGTACCCCCACTCACTTTACCACTCCTCTCCCCCAGGCCTCTGGACCCTAGAGTACAAGCGCGAGCTCACCACACCCCTGTGCATCGCTGCGGCCCATGGCCACACGGCCTGCGTGCGCCACCTGCTCAGCCGCGACGCGGACCCCGACGCCAGCCCCGGCGGCCAGGGAGCCCTGCACGAGGCCTGCCTGGGGGGCCACACGGACTGCGCCCAGCTGCTGCTGCAGCACGGCGCCGACCCCGACCTGCTCAGCGCCGAGGGCCTGGCGCCCCTGCACCTCTGCCGCACGGCCGCCTCGCTCGGGTAAGGACACGCGGCCCGGCCCGGCACCAGACCCGGACCGGACCTGGGCCATGGCTCCAGAAGCAGGCCACGCCCATCCGCCCCTGGCTCCGCCCCCAGGCCCCGCAGGTCCCGCCTCAGGACCCAACGGGTCCCCGCCCCATCCCTGGGCCCCGCACCCAGCCTCGGCCCATGCCCCAGGACACGGGCACACCCCGCGTCCTCACCCTACCCCGACTCCGGACCCGGGCCGCTGTCGCCGTTCCGGGACGCAGCCAGCCCCACCCCACCTCCAGACTCCGCCCCAGACCCTGCGGCCCCCACAGCGCAGCAGAACCCAGCTGGTCCCGCGCCCTGGCCGCGGACCTCAGACACCTCCTGCGCCCTGACCCCACCCAGACGCGGGACCCCGCAGCGGCCACATGGCCCGCTCCACCTGGTCACCCGCCCTGGCCGCGGACCGCGACCCGCCCTTGGTCCCTACCCCGGCCCCCACCACCCCGAACCCCTGAGCCCCTACCCCGAATTCCTAAGACCCCAGACCCCGCCACGCCCCGGGACAGTACTGATCCTCCTCCCGGCCCAAGGCCCGGGACCCCGGACCCCGGACCCAGACCTCCCGGCCCCCGGCCCGCGGGCGGGTATAATTAGCGCTTGATTGCGAGCGCGAGGCGGGAGGCGCCACACCGAGGTAATGAGCGCGGTGATCACAGGCCTGCAGACGCCGGCGCTGAAGAATGCTAAAAGGCCACTGGCGGGGTTGGAGGCTGAAAAATTAGGGTTTTTAATGATAATTTTATGCAGAATAATTGTCACAGTGTGACATAAATGGTTAGCTCCTCGGGCGGGGCTTCGGAGTCCCACAGGAAGCCGAGCTGTCCCCGGCATTTGCGGGGGCACCGCAGCCCACCGAGCCCACAGCCTGCCCAGGCGCCGGGGTTCTGCAAGGTCTGCAGCTGCCTGTCCAGCCCCGCGGCTGACCTTGCAGGGTGTCGGTCCCCACGGGGCCCACGAGGGCCCGGGAGAGGCGGCGGGGGGCCACGCGTCGTAGCACAGGACAATTATGCTTGGGTTTCTCAGCTTGCATTTTGTCATCTTGACACTTCTTTAGTCAAAATGTTCTGGTCCCTGCTCTTGGGGTTATCATTTCTTCTGTCACTGGGGTGAGGATTAAATAAAATCACCACTGTAAAAGCAGACAGGGAGGGCTATTGGGCTCTCGGTGACCCAAGGAGGGGCACCACCTACCATTATTACTTTAGAGGAGAACAGGAACTCAGAAAGGTTCGAGGACCCCCAGGTCTTCAGAGCTACTGAAGGAAACAATATTCTAACAATGTATTTTTTTAAGTAACTTTACTCAGGTGTGATTGGCATACAGTAAACTGCACGTTTTAAGTGTGGGATTTGATAAATGTGGACATATATATGCATTCATGAAACCATCCCCACAATCCAGATAGTGCACACACCTATCCCCATCAGAAGGTTCCCTGTCCCACTGTTATCTCTTCCATTATCCCACTGATCTGCTTTTTGTCACTCTAATTTAGTCTGAGTTTGCCAGACTTTTATATTTTGTCTGGTCTCTTTCACGCAACATAATTACTTCGAGATCATGTTGCTTCACGGATCCACAATTCACTCCTTTTCATTGCTCAGTGGTCTTCCGTGATCTGGGAATACCACAATGTGTTTATCCATTCGCATGTTGAAAGACATTTGATTGTTTGCAGTCTGAGGCCATAAGAAATACAGCTGCTATGAACATTTGTGTACTAGCCTTTGTACGGGTGTATGCTTTCCTGTCTTCTGGATGTAGACTTAGGATTGGAATGTCTGAGTCCTATGATATGATTAAAAGGTCACCTTTTAAGAAACTGCCAAACTGATTTCCAAAGTGGCTGGGTCATGTTACATTCCCACCAACGGTGTTCTGGTTCCTTCACATCCTCAGTGGTCCTTGGTATGGTCACTCTTTAATTGTGGACATTTTAATAGGTGTGTAGAAGTACACTATTGTAGCTTTGATTTGAAATTCCCTAATGACAAGGGACGTTGAGCCTCTTTTCATGTACCTATTTGACATCCATATATTTGCTTTAATGAAGTATCTGTTTAAACCTTGTGTCCATGTTTTTAAATTGGGCTGTTTTCTTCTTAAATTTCAAGATTTCTTTATATATTCTGGCTGCAAGTCCCTCATCAGACATGTAATTTGTTAATATTATCTTCTGATGTGTGGGTTATATTTTCTTCTCTTAAAAGTGTGTTTTGAAGAACAGCAATTCTTAATGTTGGTGGAATCCAGCTTATCAATTTTTTCTTTTAGGGATTATCTTGGGTTATTATACGTTTAAAAAAAAAAATCTTTGCCTAACCCAGGGTCACAAACATTCCCTCCTGCATTTTCCTCTATAAATTTAATAACTGTATATTTTACATTTAAGTCTGTGACCCATTTTTAGTTAATTTCTGGATATGGTGTGAGGTATGGATTGAAGCTTTTTTCTCTGCACGTGGATGTCCGATTGTTCCAGCACCATTTGTCAAAAAGCCTTTCCTTTCTCCACTGAATTGCCTTTGTACTTTTGTCTAAAATCAACCGACTATTTAATATGTATTGGTTTCTTTCTGGACTCTCTTGTCATGTACACACAGGACAGGACAAGGTCTGACTGTTTCAGTTGTAAAGACCCAAAGAGCCACCCTTAAATTCAGACCATTTATCACCTACAGAAGCAGTGAAGAGAGGAATAGCCAAAGGTGCCAACTCTTCCTCCCACACATCAGGAAGGACAACACCTAAATGAAAGGGGCCAGATGATTAGCAGTGTGAGTTGTAGGATATCCAGTTGCTGAGAAGCCAACTATAGACTTGAGCTGAATGGTTCTATAGTCTGTGGCTCCACTCTGAGGAGGCAAGGCAGGAAGTCCCAAGCCTCATCAGAACCCAAAAGATGATGAAAAACTCTCATGATAGGGAGGCAAGTGGACAATGGCCTTACAGCAGCACCTTACAACCTTCCCATCCATAAAGATCACAGAGTGTCCTGCCAAGACTTAGATCAGCAGTGGGTCAAGACTTTCACTTGCATGGCCTATGTGGATACATACAAGGTTGCCGGGGCTCCATGGCAGAATTTGTGTTCTATTTCATTGATCTCTTTGTCAATGTTGACACCAATACCACTTGCATGGCATACTCTAGCTCTAGAAGAAATCTCAAAGTCAGGTAGTAGAAGTTCTCAGGCACTGTTCATTGTCAAAGTTGTTTTTGGCTATCCTAGCTCTTTGCATTTCCATATAAATTTTAAAACCAGTTTGTCAGCTTCTACAAAAGGCTGCAGGGTTTTCACTGGGATTGCTATGAATCTGTGGATCAATCTATAGATCTGGGGAGAATTGATATAACAAACACAATAAAGCTCTCCATTTCTTTAGGTCTTTAATTTCTCTCTGCTGTTTCTTAGTTTTCAGTGTATGGGGCTAGCGCATATTTGTCAGATTTATCCCTAAATATTTTTTTAATTTTTTTTGTGCTTTCTAAATGGTATTTTTTTTTTAAAGATTTTATTTATTTATTTGACAGAGACAGAGACAGCGAGAGCAGGAACACAAGCAGGGGGAGTGGGAGAGAGGGCGAAGCAGGCTTCCCGCCGAGCAGGGAGCCCGATGTGGGACTCGATCCCAGGACCCCGGGATCATGACCTGAGCCGAAGGCAGACGCTTAACGACTGAGCCACCCAGGCACCCCTGTAAATGGTATTTTTTAATTTAAATTTTTAATCATATGTAGCTATTATATAAAATAATAATTTACTTTTTGCATATTGATCTCGTATCTTGCAACCTTGTTAAACTCACTAATTGTTCTCATAACTCATTGTAAATTCCATAAGATTTCTATGTAGGCGGCCATGTGATCTTTGGATAAACAGTTTTACTTCTTTTTCTATTGATGCATTTTATTCCTTTTCTGGCTTTATAGCATTGGCTAGAGCCTCCATTGCAATGATGAATAGAAGTAGTAAAGAGCAGAAAACTTTTCTTATTCCTGATCTTAGAGGAAAGCCTTACATCTTCCCCCATTAAGTATGATATTAGATGTTGGATTTTATAGCTGAACTTTTTCAGATTGAGAGAGCTCCCTTCTATTCCTAGCTTCCTGAGAGTTTGGATATTTGGATATTGAATTTTCTCAAATGCCTTTTCTGCACATTTAGAGATGTGTGTTTTTTTAGTCTGTTAATATGATGATGATTTACAGTGATTGTTTTTCAAATGTTAAACCAACCTTGCCTTCTTGAGATAAACTACAGTCTATCATGAGTATTATCCTTTTTAATAAATTCTTGGGTTTGATTAGATGGAAAAAAATTTAATCTGTATCTATGCTCATGGAAGATATTTGTCCGTAATTTTCTTTTCTTGTAATGTCTTTATCTGGTCTTGGTGTCAGAGTAATGCTGGTCTCAAAAATGAGTTGGAAAGTGTCTCTTCCTTATCTATTTTCTTGAAGAGCTAGCATAAAATTGTTATTTCTTTCTCAAATGTTTAGTAGAATCCATCAGTGAAGCTATCTGGGCCTGGAGTTTTCTTTGTGAGGTTTTTTAACTAATTCAATTTCTTTAATAGCTATAGTGCTACTCAAAATATTTCTTTCTTTTTGAGTGAGCTTTGATAGCTTGCATCTTTGAAAAGATTTAGCTCTTTCATCTACATTGTTGAATTTATTGGCATAAATTGTTCTTATTATCCTTTTAATCTGTAGAATCTATAGTAATATCACCACTTTCATTCATGATATTAGAATTCATTATATTGTTTCTTTTATTTTCTTCCCTGATCAGTCTTGCTTTTGATTTCATTGGTTTGTTGGTTTTACTGTTTTCTATTTCACTAACTTCCTCGGTGGCCTTTATTACCCTCCATTCTTTGATTATCTTGAATTTCATTTGCTCTCCTTTTTCTAATTTCTGAAGATAGAAACTAATGTCATTGATTCGATGATTTTTTTTTAAATTTTCTAATATATGCTTTTGGTGCAATACATGTCCCCCTACGTGCTACTTTAGCGAAATCCCACAAATTTTAATATCATACTTTTCCACTTTCAGTTAGTTTTAAATTCTTTCTAATTTCTCTTTTTATTTTTTTTCTTTGAACCGTAATTATGTAGAAGTGTGTTATTTAGTTTTCAAATATTTGGGTATTTTCCAGATATCTAGTATTGATTTCTAATTTAATTCCATGTGATTAGAGAACTTACTTTGTATCACTTTGCTCCTTTTAAATTTGAGTCTTCTTTTATTATACAAAATATATTCAGTCTTAGCAAATGTTCCATGTACACCAGAAAGGAATTGTTGTTGGGAGAAGTAGTCTATAAATGTCAACTGAGTCAAGTTGCCTAGTGTTAAGTCTTCTATATCCTTACTGATTTTCTGCCCACTTATTTTACAAGTTATTGAAAGAGCGGTGTTGAAATCTCTAACTACAATCATGGATT